ATGAAAAGAAAAGACGTAGATCAGATACTCTCCCACACACATTATCAAGCAGTTTAATCAAACGTGGCATGGATCAGTGCTGATACAGCTATGGCAACGCTGAAGACATTCCTTTGCTTTTTCCCCCCAGAATCCATCAGCCTAGCCAAACATTTTACTAACAGACCCATATGTAACATTTCAGCTTCACAGTATGTCTTCAAACTGTCTCATAAACTTAGCAGGCACCTGCCGTGTTTCTCATACTTGATTAAAAATCTAAAACATTTAATCAGAATGCAGGAATGTTTTTTTTAATTCTTTTTTTTATCTCAGCGAAGTGTTCTGCCTCTATGTGATGGAGCGGGAGATGTAAACCCATGTTGCAATAATCCAATCTTGCTCTTATTATAAAAATCACGAGATGAAACCTTAATTTTTTGGGTCATACCGATGCATTAAGTCTCCTGCTTCTCCTACAGATGATTGATTTATTCTGATGATTTAACTCTCAAACTAATAATGTTGTTAAACCTTTTGATTCTATTTCAGCATTCCTTGTAGGAGTCAGTCAGCATCCCAATTCTTTACTTAATGAAATTTGCCCATTTTGGTTTGTACACATAGATCTGCCCAAAACTAGGACATCTGGTCTACACAGACCTCGAGGCTTTTCTATCAGATGCAGCTCTGGACTCTAGCTAAGCCATTCCAATACTTTCTGCAAATCGTTTGCTGATTTTCTGATGTGTGATTGGATTTAACACAAAAAAAAAAAAAATGTTTACTGTCGCTTTTCCAGCACATGTACAGACATTTTGAGGTAAAGCTGGACTTCTTTCACTCATTGTGAAACTTCTTCCAAAAGCTGATGAAGGTTCTCAGTCATCCAGGTCATAGTCATTCCGTAAAAATTCAAAAAAAAAGTCCAGTGGATTTTTTGAATTTTTACGTTCTTCCAAAAGATTTTAACCAGTCCTGGATGCTTTGTTTGAAAGAAACAACTCCTGTCTTGCAACCTGACATCTTATTCCAGACATATGATCATTAAAAGAGACAGCTACCAGAGAGATTCTTACAGCTCTTTTCTTTAATAATGAAATCAAAAAAGCAAAAAGCAAAGTTTTACAGTAAGGTTCTCTGTATGAGCGCAGCAGGAGATTTGTTTGCATTGCAGGCAGTAAGTCAGACCTGTCCCTGCATGTTGGTCTCCACCAGGGCTCCCCTTTGTCATTGTGTCTGTTAATTACATTTATGGATAGAATTTCTAGGTGCAGCCAGGGACCCGAGGGTGTCCGGTTTGGGAACCTCAGGATATCATCTCTGCTGTTTGCAGATGATGTTGTCCTGTTGGTTTACAGCTGAGTGTGAAGCGGACAGAATGAGGATCAGCACCTCCAAATCCGAGGCCATGGTTCTCCACCAGAGAAAGATGGACTCCCCTCTTCAGGACGGTGGAGAGTCCTTGTCTCAAGTGGAGCGGTTCAAGTACCTCAGGGTCTTGTTCTCAAGTGAGGGACGGATGGGGCGTGAGATCGATAAACAGATCGCTGTGGCGTCGGTAGTGATACGGTTGCTGTATCGGAGTGTTGTGGTGAAGCGGGAGCTGTTCAAGGGGGCAGAGCTCTTGATTTACTGATAGATCTATGTTTCTACCATCCATGGTCATGAGATCTTGGTAATGACCCAAAGGACAAGATGGCAAATACATGCGGCCGAAATAAGTTTCCTTCGCAGGGTGGCTGGGCGCACCCTTCGAGATTGCGTGAGGAGCTTAGTTACTTGGGTGGCGCTCGGGGTACAGTCGTTGCTCCTCCAAGTCAAAACAAGCCAGCTGAGGTGGCTTGGGCTTCTATACCGGATGCCTCCTGGTTGCCTTCCCTGGATGGTGTTCTAGGTATGTCCTATTGGGAGGAGGCCTCATGGAAAGCCCAGGACACGCTGGACGGTCTATGTCTCTGAGCTGGCCTGGTGTCACGTCAGGGTTCCCCCGAGAGCAGCTGGAGGAGGTGTGGATGGATGGATGGATGGATGGATGGATGGATGGATGGATGG